TTACCTTCTGATAAATATTTCAAGAGACTCTGCATGATGTCTTTTTCACATGACCAAAACATTTGACAAACACAAACAAAAGTTGCACATTTTTTAAAGACAGGGGTGTTGATGAATCATGGCGCTCCACCCCTGTGATGCAGCCCTTATATCATAAAACTGAACACAGGAACAAATAATTTGTTATACCAGGGAGATGAGAGTTAACTCTCATCTCCCTGGTTATACTGTAATATTCTTCTTATTCAAACGTAACAGGACTCGTGTATTATAAATAAATAGAAATCATTTCCCTACCCATAACCCCCCCCCCCCCCCCCCCCACCTGGTAGATGTGGTTGATTAACTGGGTATTAATTATTAGGGCAGCTGCCTCCCATCATAAAACGAGAAGGGACCACTGACCCCTTAATTCCCATAAAAGACAGGTGAAGTAAACAAAAATACGTCATAGGCCCATCACCAGGTAAGTTTTTGTATTAATTTGATCATGTCACCAGCATAGTTGTTAATCATCTTTTTCTTCCAATTAAAAAAGTGCTTATTTTGCAGTTTCATTTATCATTACTTTGTCAAAGAAAATAAAGTGACTTAGAATGGTAGGAGCAGTATTAGATATTGAGTTCTTTATCAGGGTGTCACCTTAATTGTCTTGTCGGTCGAGAGATTACCATAAAACCATAACAAACTTTGACATTTAAAAGGTGCATTTTCTTAGATGTAAATATTAAAATTATTTTGAGTTATTAAAGCTATAGCCCTGAGAAACAAGTTATTTTCTGTGGAAATGGAATCATAATACAACAAGCGAGAGTGCCCCCTCCATACATTTATACTAATTCAAGATGATTAATATTTGAATTGATACTTGAATTGAATTGATTATGACAGGTGGTGCTGTATATTATGTCACTTATCTTTAAAAAGAGAGGAAATGTGAAAAATCCCAGGTAGGCCTTTTTTTCCTCAAAAAAGTTGCGTCGCATCTTTATCACAAAGGGCCTAAATCTGATTCTGTGTCATAAAACACACATTTTAAATATTCAGGTTTAGTTACAAAGATTTTTAATTTTATAAATTATCTACGAATTTGAATTTCGTGGGGCTATACATTTTGAGGTTCTCAAGTATGGAAAGTGCCGTTTCAAAATTTTCTTTTCTTTTGTAGACTTTTCTGAGGATACCTTACATGTATTTTGCGAAGCTAGTCTCGAGAATTTCGACCAAATTCTGTTACCAGAAATAGCACCGAAATGTAAGCACACATATTCATTTCATTGATGAACGATATATATAATTGAAGAAATATGCGTCACTTTCTTTTGAGCAAATTATATTAGGTTTTACAGTATTTTATAATAATTTGAAAAATACTCTAGCAATTACATGTAACACTACACAAATAAGTACATATGGGACAGTAATAATGTTGAACGGAGGTTTTTGGATATGAACTTTTAATTTATGATTGTTAGTTCAATCAAATTGTTTTAGCCTACTCGTGCGTAAAGAAATATATATAGATAAATGTGGGGAATCTGAGGTTTGCCAAGGTTTGTATTTTGCATTAGAACCAACTTTAATTTATTCTAAATCCATTGGCTGCATGCTGTCGTCTGACGGTCTGGTGATGTGGCTAAAGTAAAAATTATGAAGTCTTGCCCTTTTATCTACAAGATTTTCTAACCAAAAAGTGTATGAGACAGGTATAAAGCAACTATTAAGGATGACATTCTTAGCATGATATACAGTTTCTCAGCACGATAAGACATTAGGGTAATGTGACGTCATTTTCTTTATATCACAACGTGACGTATGGTCTACTAATACTGTGCAAAGTTGTTTATCAACGCACGGCCCAGAGTGCAATAGCGGTGAATGCAGTACGCGCGAGGTTTCTTCAGATTGGTGCCGCTCTGTGCAACGAGCCGCTTGCGGTGACGTGAGTTGACAGTGCGAACCATCTGAAAAAACCGAGCGTACACTGCATTTACGTTTCGCACAACAGGGTCAAGTGCGTTAGGGTAGAGTGCCCAGTATTCGGTCACTTACGGGGAAATCACTAATATTTTGAATTCTTACCTCTTTTATTTGGCAATCTACCCATCAAAAGAAAAGAAATTTATTCCTCTAACAGGATTTTATAGTCACTTAAAATAAGCAAAATACTTCCGAAAGAAGACGGAGCATTTTTCTGCCCAGAATTCGGTCACGCGATTTGTGCGTGGTATCTCCGTTGCAAAGGAGCGTAGCGTATTTGCGCACTATTTTCACACAATTGCGCGATAAAGCACTGAATGTCAATGCGTTGACCGAATACTGGCTGAGCGATACCGCATGGCAAGGGTATCGTATAAATACCTCTTGCACATCGGCAAGTGCGTCATTTGCAAATTCGCTGCGATGGAGCGAACACAGAAGTGATTCTCTTCACACACATACTAAATTCATTGTGACAGCACACGTAGTTGTTTCGCAATAGACTTCTACATATGGCTATGCATGTTAGCGCATGTGCTAAGAGAACGCGGAAGTGCGGAAGTGCGGAAAGTTGTGCGACACTGACCAATTTCAAGCTAAGTTGGAGATCTTTCCGGGGCCCTAAATCTGATTTAATTTGGAGACTTAAGAAAAGTTGTTCAGCTGCCTGATTTGTGCAAGTTTCGTGGCTCATAAATTATTTTTTGAATTGTTACAGCTGTTGAAACGGCTGTCTGACCGAATACTGGGCGCGCTACCCTATTTGTTTTATAAAATAGCGACACAAATAGCAACAAACAAAAGTTTAGATCTTAAGTTAGAGTCTACGAGAGTTCGATCTAGATCTAGAGTTATGTTGGTTCTACTAGACTAAAATAAGAGTAAGACCTTGCAGGCTTACCAAAAAGTCCACGGGATTCATTGTTTGATTAAAAATAAAATCCATAGGGGGTCTAGAGACGAGTCTACATCAGACAGCTGAAATTCCTGGCTTCATTATATAATCCAAAAGTCAAAACAGGTCTAACTCCAAGGCAAGCTTTCTAATAATTAATACCCCGCTCTAGCTAGCTACCCTGCGCTGGGGATCATGGTGGAGCGTACAATATTAGCTACGCGTAGCCTATAGCCTACAATGCACTCGAGGGAGCGTACTAGTACTACGCGTATGCGCGTGCGCGCTGGATCTCCATCACGTGTATTATAACTTTTTTTGCGCTTTTTCTGCACTCATTTCTGCAAAATCGTGCTTGCATCAAAAATTTGTACATGTCATGTGACGCGTATTGACCAATCACGATGCTTAAAATACTAGAGCCATTTTATAAAGAAATCTATCTAGATCTATTCAAATTTTTAGATGCTTCCTTCCCAGGTGTGTGTTTTGTACTACAATTCTCCCTATTGCCAATGCATACAAAATTCATAGATGTAGCCTCTTGCAAGTAATTTCGAGCCAATTCCGGGACTTACTTACTTCCATCATGCATGGTACACGTATAATGACGTATATGTGCATTGTACGTAGGTATGTGTGCGAAAGCCATTTCTAGGTTTCTCAATTTTTTGTGATGGCAGCAATGAAAAACAAGAGAAGAATACTCCAAATCTGCATGCATATCGACAACCAGAACGAAACAATGGAAGGCTCTCAAAGCTTTGAGAAAAATTGATGGGTTTAACTTTAGAATACCCCACCAAAACAGTATATCCATTGATCGTCCAACAAGCCAACAAACCCTTTATTGTAGTCCCATCTATTAGTAGTTAGACACGTTTTCGCACTAGTCAATGAACACAACCAAAGAAACTATTTGTTAGTATTACTATGCTAATACCAATTACTCTTGCCCAGGCCCATCACTCATCTAAATATCTTTTTAGTATGATTAACAATATTTTCATACATTCTTGTAATGATCGATGAACTCTTGAAATTGCTTGAAAATCGCAATTAATCACTGTAATAACTCTCAGAAAAGAATTACACACACAAACCCAGACATGCACAGTGCAGCCGCATGGCAGAAATTGGAAGTGACTTGGTCATCAAACTATCCCAGAGTGCACTTGAAATGGGGCCTGAACGTAACATACGTGTACATATTATATTTTGGCGAGAGTGAAAGTGAAAGATATTACATGGTTTAAAAATGAATGGAAAAAAATGAAAAAATGACTAGAAATGATGGATTTTATTGTTTTGTTTCATTAAATTGGCTTGATTTACCAGTCATCAAATTTACCAAATCACACTTCTTAATAGAAAATGATTTATTATCTATTGTAAACAGTTTCACCAGCCCTTAGGCCCTACAGACATACCAGCTATGTCTAAGGCAACCGTGTGCAGTAATTGTGGCGGTAGTGACATAGACACAGACCAGGCTCGAGGTAATGCTGTCTGCGTGTCCTGTGGAGCGGTCATTGAAGACAACTTCATCGTCTCTGAGGTGGGCTTTGCAGAGAACACTCTTGGAGGAACTTCTGTGATCGGCCAGTTTGTTTCATCCGAGGGTAAATGTCACAATTCTGTTAAAAGTCATATCACCTAAGTGTAAATAAAAATCTTACTTAGGTATAGTGGTTAATGTTCAAATATGCTCACTTCACTTTGTATGACGACCAAGTTCAATTTGCAGGCAATCAAATAAAAGTCTAGTTAACTGTCTCATCCGATGTACATACAAGATTTGGATAGTAGAGTTACAGGTTCTATTGAAATTGTTCTTCTATGAATCAGTTGTTATGCTAACATTTTATAAAAATATTTTTTACAGTTTTTGAAAAAATAATGGTCACTATTCATTGTGATTGATTGGTTTTTTCATAATTTTGGAGGTCTTCTATGAAACTATGACACATATATGTCCCAAATGTAGTGATATGCTAGACACCATACAGATCAATCAATGTCTCTTGGATAACCTTTAATATGGAACAAATCCTTTTCTGTCATTACTCTATATTATAAACAATTTGTTCACAGTGATTAAATTATTGTTATCTCTTTCCATTTCCCTACAGGTGATAAGAGTCATACTTTAGGAAACAACTTTCGTCATGGCTATGGCAAAGAATCCAGAACAGTTACACTTCAACAAGGTAAAGATCTAGCCTCATGCAAGTCACTATGCGTTTGCACGGTCGTGTTGCCTCTAGAATGCTTCACAGCTGATCATTAATTTTTATTAGAAATTGGCAACAATTCGGCCTCGGTCATATCAGTGGAGATTTCTTGTCTAGGTTATGTATTATTTTTATTGTAGGTTATGTAATGTTGCAGAAAAAATTGCAATATGCTCTGATACAGTAATTATGCTGTAAGTGGGAGGCTTTCTGGAATATGATTATAACGTAAAGAATTTATTTTTACTGCAAAGTGGTTATTGGTTTGACAAAATTATCTCCTAATATTATATATCTTTGTGTTGTATGTAATATTTTATAGTCAATATGAGTTGAAATTATTCTAGATGTATTTGAACTTGTTTCTACAGGTGTACAATGAAAGAGATTACAGTAACATACCTTATCATAGTATCAAATCTTACTATGATAACATATATCTTATGATGATCAACTGCTCTTTTTCAGGTAAGAGACACATCCAGAACTTGGGTGGGCAGTTGAAGTTGAACCAGCATCGTAATGACATGGCCTATAACTTCTTCAAGATGGCTGTTCAGAAGAAGCTGACAAGAGGAAGAAAGACCATGCACATTGTAGCGGCCTGTCTCTATCTGGTCTGTCGACTGGAGTCTACTCCTCGTATCCTTGATATAATGCAATTCTCTTTTATAGGAAGAAGAGAACTATGCCAATATTTACCAAAGATTTTTTTACTTGTTTGAACACAAAATATTCACGCTTTGAGGTCTATTGGGGAACATGCTGCTGTTTTGATGCACCACATACTGTGGCTCTCCCTGGACTAGCCCGCCTCTTCCTCAAAAAAATATGCGCTGTATTTCAATTTAGCACAAGAGACTAAAAAAATGCTTACTATAACTATTCATACACAACATTCTAGTTGATCTGAAGACCTTTTATTGACCTTGATTCCTACTTTAGATAGATCTCCACTTTCCGAAATATCTGTCGAAACCAACAATAGTCGGCCACTCCCTGTAGGAAAGAAGCACTACCACAGATCATAATTTGTGGCCCTTTTCCTGAATTAAAATAATATTTAAATGGTATGCAGCTCTCGCTCAGTCATGCGTTGTCTGCACATGGTGTAATATGTATTAAGGTCCATGATGGTTAAAAGTATGTATTGTCCTTGCTCTGTCATGTACTTTTGTTAGTGCAATAATTGCAAAGATAAATAATGACTTGATATGATTTAGCATGAATTCTTTTTCCTTAACCGATAACCTCTCCAGATATGTTGCTAGATCTCAGTGACTTGCTACAGGTAAGCTATTACACATTATTTTTAATATTCAATCTAAAAAAACAGACCACTGTTAGGATATGCTTCATCCACAGTAGATGATTGATATTTAATTATAATGCTAAATCAGTTCAAAGGACTATTAACTCATTGCCTCCCGGAATCGGGTGGTTCCTGTATTAAACATATTGGGAATATGAAAATTTTGTAGTTAATGGGTTAATGCACATATCTGTAACTTACATTTATAACTTATAGTATAAGTGATAATCTTAGAAAAAAAAAAGGGGGATTTAAAAAATAAATACATAGTATTAAAGGCACACTGTCTTACTTGTAGCTACTTGCTCCCTCTATAGTGAAAAATTCCCAAATCGGTGCCTGTTGGTCCCCCATGATCCTCTTTTTCTTATGTTAAATGAGAGCTGAGTTAATGAGATAGCCACCTGTCACAGTGACCTCGATGGCTCGCTGTGTGGTCTAATCCCTTCTGGCTGAAGTAGTAAAGCCTACCTTTAAAGTGGTACTGTAGTCCTAGAAGATTTGTTTTTCCTTCAGTGTTCTTTGGGATTTAGAGCTATGACACTCTATTATAATTTAACAAATCCTATAACCCTCATAATTTCTGGGATCTTGTTCCTGAGGAGTGATATGTTCAAGATTAGCCTTTGATGATCTATCATCACTGGCATGGGAGTGTTGTTTAAAACGAAAGGTGGGTGTATAGTGAATGCACTTTTTGATATCTACTTTATTCTCTAGCACAGCAATCTTTATTCCACAAATAAAAGGACTCCATGTCATTAGAAAGCATGTTAACTGTTATGAAAATTGATATTACTATTATTATTTTTAATTTTATAACACAAAAAGATCTAAATGTTATATGCCATCATTGCACATCTACTGATATCTTGTGTTTGACTGCAATTCATGCACTCACTTGAGACAGTAGAGGGCAGTAATCTTTTATCTGATTTGATCATGTACTTTGTCAAACTAAGAGATAGGTATGAATCAAAGTAATGGAAACTGATGTATGAAAATGATGAACGTTAAGCCAATTTCTGTTTCTCACTCTTATGTCATCGATTCATTCATCCATGTAGGGTGTGAGATTTAAAATAATATTGTCTATATCCAAAATTTTTTATGAAATTTACTTTGTTTTCCCCAGGTGAATGTGTATGTTCTTGGGAAGACCTACCTCAAGTTGTGTCAGGAGCTTCACATCAATGTACCTGCAATCGGTAAGTCTTAATTTCAAATATTATTCATGATAATTTGATATCAATAATGTGTTTTCCTAGTGTTTAATAGCAAAGAGATAAAAACAATACAGTTTTCTTAAATTGTTACCAATATTTACTCGTGATGAATGATGTATTATAAGCTACTGAAATCATTGCATTTGACTGGCTGTTAGTGTTAGCAAATTCATCACAGATCTGCGGCAATTATTCTTGGTAACAATTTTCATGAAACAGGGCCAAGATTTATAATCATCTTTTAAACTACATCGCTGATCTTTTGTTGATTACATTCCTCCTTGTCTACAACTTGTAGCCAAGAAATCAACTCTCTACTTTTTTTGGTTTTTGTTATAATTGATTATTACATCTGCAGAATATCTGCAATCTAAATAGAAAATGACAACAACAAACAATAGAACACATATTGGCTGGTCGGGAGAGGGGATGGTGGACAGTATCCAAAATATGAAACAAAACAAATAACACTTAAAATAACGGATGGGTTGGAAGGGGATGGGGGGGGGGGGGGGGGAGAGGCACTCCAATTTTGTGGGAATAGTTCTGTGAAAGTATATAAATAATTACAATAGCAATCCAGTGAACCTAGAAAAGAAAATATTGAAGGGAAAGTAAAATATTTTCACTGTTCAGGCAGTTTCAATCGGAGCGTACATTTGACCTTGCTGCAATGATATCAATGCTTTCAATTTCAATATTATAAAATTCATCAAGGAAATACTGTTAAATTCCATTGAAAATAAATGAGAGAAGATGCATGGAAATTGTTGGGCATACTGCTCGAGAGGTATTTCATGATCAAAAGCAACACTCTTGATTATTTGGTGTTTTCACATGTTGTTTGCTGAGAGCGGGTATATCAAAATTGTATGACATGAATCTGGGGTATGTTCAATCAGGGTGGTCCATCCAACAAAACAAAATTGGAACAATCAAAGGATTATGAATAGATATAATTATGCGAAGCACAGAGTTCCTTATGGCTGGGCTCCAGGGCTTGCTTGCGGGCTCTAAGGTTCTTACTAGATGCACTCAGGTGCAATCTGATCCATATTTTGAGGCCTTTTCAAATACATTTTCTGACTAATATGTCAGAAGTAATTTTGGTTGAAAATGAACATTGCTGATTTTTACACCTTGAGCTAATTTTTAAACCTGTCACTGTTTAATACTTGTACCCCGTGTGGCCTACTCTTCTTCAATACTTACTTTCTGAATATGAATATCAATTAAGCTGTAAAAAGTATTCGCAAATTTTCACCAGTTGTGAGTCAAAAGCTACACATTATAAGCAAATCTTAGTAACAAAAAACTTGTATTTTGTAGACATGTTAATGTATTTATCAGTGTTGATGCAATCTGAATACTTCAGCAATACACCTCCAAGTGAAACCAATGACCATCCAGGGGGGTGTTTCACAAAGATCCCAACTCGAACTTAACTATAAGTTGGACTTAAATATTATGGAGAGTCATTTGTAGCTTTAAAAAAGAATATATTTAAAAGCGAAAATTCAAGTATTTTAGACTTTTTTATGAATTCCACATCAAGAACATGAAATGTCCTTGATAATAGAAAAAATGAATGATTTAAATCAACATTTTATAGCTTTTAAAATAACTTTTACAAAATATTTTCATAGATGACAACAGCTTTTCATAATTTTTAAGTCCAACTTAGGATTTTTTAAAACAACCCCAGGTGTACCCAAACCTTACTGGATTGTAATATCTTGTTGTCTTCTATAAACTGTATGTTAAGTTTTCCAAATTTGTGTACTAAATGTTTACTTAAAGGTCATACAAAGTTTTGGTATAGGGTCATGAGTTTGGTTCAAATGAACATATTGGAAGCATATGTGATCCTACAATATTCGGTGATCGTTGTCGCGGTTAAAATCGAGTCTAAAGTTATGAAATTGTAAACAATGAACTCTTCATGATGTATAGCTCCCTCTCAAGGTCAACATATTGATTAAACCATAAAACAATATTCTTGATTAAAATCGACCGATTGGCTATTCCTGTTTGGCAATTACATATCACAAGTACATATTCTGAGATTTTCATGGTCGCACTTACCATTGTATGGCCGTAAGCGCTATTTGAATTTTATCAAAATTTACCGGGAGTACTGGTAAATTTTTTAATTTTTCTCGAAATTAGAAGTGTTTTAGGGACTACATTTTCTAGTGCTTATAATACATCCACATGGTCATCAAAAAATATCAAAATTGTAAAGAATCAATATCCAACCAATTTTAAAAATCCCCCGAAACTTTAAATCTTAAATTTCTTTTCACTTTAAAGACTAACAGGTGATGGCCATTTTTATATTCCCATTTTATATTTATTGATGTTGTTAAAAAAAAAAATGTTTATTGGTATTTTTGTTTTTCTCTGGATTATTTATCCATATTTTTGAATTTCTGCTTTAATGACAGATTTTTGCTATGAAAGTTGTATTGCGCAGTTTTGTCCTGTAATGTAGGCATGTAGCAAACTTACAATTACAATGAAACTGCAATTCCACAAATTGTCGTCATGCTAATGAGAATAAATACCTTTGTAATACAGGAATTCTTCATTCTGTATATAATATACTATATGATGCATGAGAACAAAAATCAGCAAAGAGCAAAGTAAAAAGGAATACCTATCTTGCTTACATGTACATGTAGGTAAATGACAAAGATTTACATGTAATGGAAAGCCACTTGAAGTTCTTGAACCTTGTTTTTTTTTTTTACCTTGAGCTCACCTTTTTTGTAATTATGATTTATGAAGACAGACATCCATACCAAAACTGATTGACATTTATGATTGCCTTGTTATTCTGTATTTCTTTATGTCTGCTTGAAAAGTCGAGAAAAGCGAGACGAAAAATAACAGATGTTGAGCGTTTGAGTTGTTAAAAGTGTTTGCCATGAATAAGGTGCAGTGCTATGAAGTGGAATGACCCAGTATTGTGTACTGTCTGTTGACTCTGTTTTGATGTTGTGCCATTGTTCATTTTCTTGTCACTTGGTGTGGTCCAGTTAAGCAGAAAAAAAGTCCCATTGTAGTAGGTTTGTGAACTGTACCAAGTGACAAAAACAAGTGAACATCTTTTGATTCCCAAATAGTGTGTGATTGGGGATGTTTACCAAAGAAAATCTGTTATTCTGGTCCGACCTCCACCTGCAGAAATGATTATAATTGCAGAAACTCTAGATTGTTATCTTTTTTTTCCAATACGAAAGCTCCTTATTCAATGTAGATTAAAATCATATTTTTGAACACACATGCATAGTATGTTGCCTAAAGTACACTGTAGTAGAGACAAATCATCAAATCATATATCACGTTTGACAGTTGACAAATGACAGTGCATACAAATAACCAAATTCCCTTCTTTGTCTGGGAAAGCACTTACCGTATTTAAATGATTTTCAGAACTCTCAATTTCAGCAGACATAGACATTGAGTCCTGACCCATTATACATTTGTAGGAAAGCTTTATGGCCAAGAAAATCATTGCAAAAGAATTTTGAAGCATTCTGTTAGTACAATGCTTCTAATATGAAATATAACTCTTGTAAGGGTTCCATTCCTTCCCCTTTGGCTATTGTGAAACATATTTGTATGAAACCATAAAAAAGATATCTTTTATGCTTGATATTTCTAATTTTCAAAACCAACAGATGGTTTCACTGGCATTTTAACCAAAAGTTTCTTTCTTTTATTCTTATAAAAAGTGCATTCATTGATGAAAGAAGAAGACCAGAAGGCCCTTTGAACGAAATATTTGCACTCTAAGTCATATTTTCTTACTTTATTGTGGGTTGGTGTTATTGCAGTATAATATGTGTCACCTTCACTTTATAAGAGGGATAATCATGGATGAGGGTGAGAATAATGGGATTTTTCCTTTGTGTCTAATCATGCATGGATACTTTGCACCTGACTAGTTTGTTATAAAAAAAAGTTTGAAATCCCCTCTAGCATTGTGGATACTTATTTACTTGCAGTCTTTTGGCCTTTGTCTAGATTTGAGAGCAGATGTGAAGTTGTACATGTACTCTAAGATTAAACTGTATACATATTTTTCATCCCATAAGATATATCTCATTCTAGAATATTTAAAATCCAAATCTGAAAATATTTCTTTCCTGTGGGGGTCCTGTGAAATGATATTTTGTTATTAAAAGTTTGCTCCAGAAGGAAAGGGGCTACCTGTTAAGATCATATGAGGGTTTTGTTCACTCATACCATAGGCAACCATTACCCCCCCCCCCCCCCCCCCCACCACCACCTCATCTATTAGGAATATTGCTTGCTTTGCGACCAATGTCATATCTGTCAGTGTGTTAATAGGGGATAGTCTCTATTGTAATTCCTTGGGCCAGTCTCTCGAAATAGTCATACATATACCTTTGACATCCTATGAAATAAATATAAATACATGTGTTATAGATAATAGAATTAGCACACATTTGAATCTGATGTCCATGAACTTATGACTTATGATGATTTCAAGAAACTGGCTCCAAGTGTAACTATCAACACTCCACATTGAGCCAGCCAGATGGGAAAGGACAATGGTCATGTATTGCTTCCTCCCAGGTATTTTGTAGTGACACTAATTGTCATCGTAGCAAACGCAAGCAAATGGCAAAGGTTGTGATTTTCATTTCCTATGTCACCAGAGGGCTTGTTATTGGGTGGATGTGAATTTTAACAGATGTTTATGGTAATGGCAAGATTCCCAAGAAGCCGTTGGCACATTGTGATATTTATTGGGATAAACTCCACAAGCTTTTTAAATTTTAGTTGCTATCCTCTGTGTAAAGGCATTGAAGGAGAAACAGAAACAAAGGAAAGTTATTCAGAGCATTACTAACGATTTAATTATCTTTCACCTTTTGTCTAACCACATATTTTTCATTTAAGTGGAAGCTTTAAAATAAAATTAAAAAAAAAAAAAAAAATTGTTGAGG